TCCCTCAAGGATATTGAAATTACTCAAGCCCTCTCCCCCTTTAAACCGTTCAAATTCCTAGGACCTGATGGCTTACACCCATATTTTTTTCAAGATTATTGGTCGGAAGCGGGTTCAAATGTTACCGCTTTTTGTCACAAAGTCTTTGCGGATAATACCATTCTCCCTGAAATAAATAAAACTTATTTGTACCTCATACCCAAGATAAAAAATGCTGTCTCAATTGCTTAATTCCGACCGATTAGCCTTTGCAACACTATCTATAAGCTAATTACAAAAACATTTAGTCAATCGGCTCAAGCCCATGTTACATAAAATTATAGGACACACCCAATCCAGTTTTCAACAAGGAAAGCGCACTTTGGACAACGAGATCATTGTTCAAGAATTTCTAACACATTTTCGCAAAACACGGGGTAAACAAAGCCATATGCTTCTAAAACTAGATTTAGAAAAAGCCTTCGACAGGTTAGAATGGTCCTTCATTCACCGTACACTCTTCTTTTTTAAAATCCTACCCTCAATAATTACGCTAATCATGTCCTGCATCACGACCACATCAACCTCAATATTGATAAATGGTACAAGGACATATTTTTTCAACCGTCTCAAGGCATTCGCCAAGGCGATCCCCTCTCCCCCTATATTTTTATTATGTGCATGGAAATGCTTTCGCGTAGCATCTCCACATCGGTTCATCTTCTCTAGAAGCCTATTAAAATTTCACGAAATGGACCTGAACTCTCTCATCTTTTTTTTGCCGACAACATCATTCTTCTCTCTAAAATAACTAATAAAAGTTGTCATGCCATAATTGACACGCTTAATAACTTTAACAAAATTTCAGGCCAGAAAATAAATTTCCAAAAGTCAAAGATTTTTTTCTCAAAGAATTTCACCGATGGTGATAAGGCCTATGTGCTCTCATGCTTTAGTATGTCTGAAGTGATAACCTTCGGCAAATACTTAGGATTCCCCTGTTCATCAAGAAATCACAAAAATCCGACTTTCAATTCCTCCTTGACAATTTCAAAACTCGCCTTGCAAGCAAGAAGACTAAGTTTCTATCCATAGCAGGGAGAACAACTCTAATCAAATCCACACTTAACAGCCTTCCTAATCATGTAATGCAATACATTTCTATTCCCAAATCCATAATAAATAAAATAGAGCAATATCAACGAAACTTTCTTTGGGGCACCACTTCTGTTAAAAAGAATCTCCATCTAATACAGTAGAAAAAAATAATCACCCCCTGCAAATTTGGAGGATCAGGCATACAAAAAATGTCTCTTAAAAATGATGCTTCACATGCTAGTCTCTCTTGGCGGCTCTTCCATAAACAAATCGCACTTTGGGCAATAACACTACTTCACAAATACTGTAAAACTCATTCACATACAAAAAATATCTCTTAAAAATGATGCTTCACATGCTAGTCTCTCTTGGCAGCTCTTCCATAAACCAATCGCACTTTGGGCAATAACACTACTTCACAAATACTGTTTTACATATTCTTCCGCTAAAACTCATTCACACACCTGGAAGAACATTCTCCAAGGCTGGTCACACTGTCAATTAGGCTTACAATGGCACATAGGCAATGGCCAACATATAAAATTCTTGACCGACGCTTGGGTTGGAGCTGCAACCACCATGCGCTCTGCCATCTCTAGACCCTTGCCAGAAGAAGACATCAACCTCACAATCTCATCATATAGAACTCAATTAGGATGGGACTGACAAAAATTTCCTTTCGAAATACCTCAATTTATCAAAACCCTTATGCAAAATCAGCACTTCCCTATATACAAAAAAGAACATTGATAGTACATTCTGGGCTTTGACAAACAATGATTTATTTTCAGTACAATCCATGTACACTTCTCTCCTTAATCACGCGCCTTCAATTAATGCACACCAACTTCAATACAAATGGATTTGAAAGCTCCTAGTAACCTAAAAAATTAGGCCTTCCATATGGCTCCTTAGCCATAACCGTCAACCTTCTCGCCACTATCTCCACCACATAGGTTTGCTAACAGAGGCGAACTGTTTATACTGTCATGACCCTAATGAAACACTCAACCACATCTTTCTCACATGTCCTAATGTATAAAACTATTGGAAAAATCTAGGTCTACAAGCTACAACTAATATGTTGAATCGATTTCCCACTCCATCTCTGTAACTTCATCTACTTTTCAAGGGAAGAAATAAACATATGCCCCACAACCTCCATCCATACATATTCCTCTCTTTTAGTTTATGGAACATGTGGACTACACGGAATATAAATTCTTTTGAATATAGAAAAAATAATATCCCTGCACATCATATAATCAATCAAGCTATAGAATTTACTTATTGTGCGACAAAGTCTATTGCTAAAACTCCTAAAGTACAAATTAATGTCAAATAGATTCCTCCAAAACCAAATTATTACAAATTAAATACTGATGGAGCAGTCTATCATCAATCTGAAAATTCCGGCATAGGGGGGCTCATTCGGGATGCTCAGGGAACTTGGATTACGGGGTTTGCTGGTAATATCACTACAAAAAACAACATGGAAGCAGAATTACATNAACAGCATGGAAGCAGAATTACATGCACTTTTCCATGGATTACAGTTAGCAATTAAGTTTAATTTGGTTCCACTTGAAGTAAACATTGACGCCTCAGAGGTAATCACATTTTTAAGAAATGAAAATCTCCTCTACACTAATATCATCTATGATTGCAGGCACCTGCTCCAGCAGTTTCATGATCCACATATCATACATGTGTACAGAGAGCAAAACGAGGTAGCAGATAGGTTAGCCAAGCAAGGTTGTACGATGAAGTACTCAGCAGCACCAACATTTTTTTGTCTCACCGCCCATTTTTGTTATCGAACAACTAAGAGCAGATCAGTCAGGTGCTACAACTCTCCGGAAAGTATCACCCGCTCAAGTATGACAATCTGTCAGGCTTGACACTTAAACACCACCTTTTGCTCCACATCTGACGGACTTGTTGGCAATAGACATTCTCCCTCCGCAACATGGTACTGCACATGGAGTTGCTGTAGTAGAAAACTCCCCTTTTTATAATGATCTTTTGGATCAACACACCACAATAGATGTTAGTATCATTTCTACTAATAGTATTTATAGTATTAGTACTTCGGTACATCCCAACACCAACCTCTCTATAATATATCTTTATAATTAATATAAGCTTATCTTTACTACCCAAAAAAAAAACCAAACACCGTACACCGCAAAGTTAAAAAGAGCAGAAAGCGGAGATCTAAACTTGAGGTTCCAAAACGCCCACCGACTAATCCTCATGACCTCATCTAACGTCTTTCATTTTTTTTCCTTATATACTAGTACTAGTAATAATTGGACAGTGTCACTTCCATTTTCCAAACTCGAAACAGACGGAAGCACACACGTCCTCCTCTCATTTTCCCTCCCATCTTTAGCTTTACGTAAGCATTACTCTCTCTCTCTCTCTCTCTCTCTCTCTCTCTCTCTCTCTTTTCTGGGTCATTTTCTATTGAGTTACGCATTATCTCGATTCCTTTTTATGCTTCTGAATTCTCTGTTTTTTTTTGCTGATTAGTTTTAAACAGTAGCTGATTGTTTTGATCGACTGATTGATTTACAGTAAGAAGAAAACGTAAGAAATGGTGGCGTTCAAGGTTACTCGCGTCGGGACGACGCCGTTTGATGGCCAGAAACCTGGAACTTCTGGTCTCCGGAAGAAGGTAATTGAATAAAAATAAATAGAACAGACAAAGCAATGCAACTCACGTGTTTAAGACTTCGTTCTTATGCCGCATTCCTGTAGGATTCACGTTGATCTCCTTCTATTTTATCTGAATCACTGACATTGTTTTTGCTCAATTTTTTGTTCCAAAGATTTTCTGTACAGGTGCTGAATTCGATCTGTTGTATTGAATGCCTTTTGTTTCATTGCTTATATTTCTGACATTACTGATCTTTCTGCAAATGTACACTTAATAACATCTTATGACTGTCGATCAGCAGCTATAAATCTAAGGGATATGTGTACATTAGCTAATGGGATCTGTATATATGGAATGATGTGAACTCTGTGGATGAATCTGATAATTTTGTTGTTTGATGCAAAATTGTTTAATTTTTTAAGTTTCTTTGTTTTTTCAGCAGAGTTTATGTACAGTACATGCTAATACAATTGACATACGTTTCATCTAGTTGATACCACTGAATATAACTTAATTATCTTAAAGCTTCATGCTTGCTTTTTGTGTGTGTGTGTGTGTGTGTGTGTGTGTGTGTGTGTGTGTGTGTGTGTGTGTGTGGTTATCTAAGCTGCTTAAATTTGAATACCGACTCTCTCTTCATGCTTTCTATATTGCGAATCAATCAGTATATGATTTGTAACCAATTTCAAAGTTTTTACAAGTTACAAGCAACAATCAAGATTCAAGTAGGCTTCTTGGCCGGTTCAAATATATAATTGGTAAAAAAATATTTGGAGACAGACATAAAGTATGCTTCTAGTCTAGCCTCTTCTTCTTTAGATTCATTTTTCACAAAAGTATTATTGATTGTGCTCGTGTCAACACAGAGAAATGAATATATTTACGTATTAAATATTAAAAGTGATCTAGATAAAATGGTCAAAATTCTGTTTTATCTTGTTAACTTCTCATGATTATGTCCCAACTTGTGCGGAATTACTAATTGTGTGACTTAAGCACTTATGTACTATCATTCTCTTGTATTCAAATTGCTTTGAATTGTTGAGTCTAACATGAAGCTGCATGAACTGTTTCAGGTGAAGGTGTTCACACAACCTCATTACTTGCAAAACTTTGTTCAGGCAACATTCAATGCCCTTGGATCTGACAAAGTCAAAGGTAAGAAATTTGATATCCTAATCTTTTTCATGAATTTCTTTAAAATTTTATATGGCATGAGAGATTAGATATATGCTACCCTTGTTAGTCCCCTTCTTGGTAATTTCATTTTTTTCATCTCTAAAGGTGCCACACTTGTTATTTCTGGTGATGGCCGCTACTTCTCCAAGGATGCTATCCAGGTAAAATTTTATCAAAAATTTTTCCAAGGAATTCTTTGGTTTAGACTGTTATATCTTCTTCATAATCAATATACTGAAATATTTTATAATTTCCTCTCCTTATGGTACATTCTGAAACTGAAACACAGTTTCTCATTTCATGTTTTTTTATGGAGACCCCATATTTCACTAGCACAATAATTAAATTTGGAGTACTGATGAGTGTAGGGTGGTTTTTGTGAAGAGCTGTTGACAGCTTAACATGTCTATATCTGCTTCGTTACAGGTCATTACAAAAATGGCTGCAGCAAATGGAGTAAGACGTGTTTGGGTCGGTCAACATGGACTTATGTCCACTCCTGCTGTATCAGCTGTTGTTCGCGATAGAGTCGGGGCTGATGTAAGCCCTCTGCCGCTAAAAGCTACATCGGATTTTTGTCTTAATTGTATGTAGCCCTTACATGATTCCACGATCAGTTAATGCCTGATCCTGAACACAGGGGTCCAAAGCTAATGGGGCATTTATATTGACAGCAAGTCACAACCCAGGTGGCCCTCACGAGGTAACTACCAGTAATATTTTCTTTAAGGATATTTCTTCCATTCTAAAGCATTTGTACTTCATCTTTGTTTTCACATTATCAAATGTAAAAAGTTGGCGATCGAAGGATTTGACTAGCTTCATGGTCTTTCTAGGAGCCCATATTATAGACAATTGTAAAGGATGTTTTGCATTCTCGTTTCACTTTGAAGCTTGTGGCATCAAATTTTGCTCCTGCTATAACTTGCTTGTAGTGCCTTTTTTCTTTTTTTCTTTTGGGGTATAATAATCATTGCATGTAATTCTCGTTTTGTCAGAATTCAAAGTGCCGTTGTTAATTACAGAAAACTCATTTTCGGTCAGCCTTTATACGTTTTATTAGTTTGCTTCAGAGGTCTTCACATGGATATGCTTTAATATATTTTTAACATGGATTTTGAGTCACTGAGTGTATTTCTCTATTGGTGAAAACTATTGCTGATTGAGTCTAATCGTTAAATCACTCTCTGCAGCCTTAAATAGCTTTATAGTTCGAGTAATTTCCAATCCTTATGTTACAGTGTTCTGTCTTTCAAAGAGGATTGTATCTTCTCATTTGCTTCTTTGGAGACCCATTTGTCTTTCATGTCAGGGATTTTGTGGGGGGTGGGGGTGGGAGGAAGGAATCACACAAAGTGTTGTTTCAACTGTAAGTGGATGCATGCAACTTGATACATGCTATCTAAACATGTTTATTCTGAAGGGGGAAAGAGAGAAACGTGGGAAGATGCAGCACGATTGTTTGCAAATTAATTGTAAAATCTCCTATTGCAGTTTCTTGAATAACTTGATGATAACTATTACTAGCTTTGACTGATGGTTCAAGGTTCTTTCCATATTTTCACTTATAGGATTTTGGAGTTAAGTACAACATGGAAAATGGTGGACCTGCGCCAGAAGGTGTTACTAATAAGATCTATGAGAACACTACGACAATAAAGGAGTATTTGATCGCAGAGGGCCTGCCTGATGTAGAATCTACTTTTTAACTATTATATTTAAATGTGCATTTAAGTGCTTATTTTGATTGATCAAGGTACTCTTCTGACAATGCCCTATTTGAATTGAGGTGGACATCTCTAAAACTGGCGTTTCAAGCTTTGAGGGTNTCGGATGTATGTCAAATATGTTCATGTCAAGTTCAAACGATAATTTAGAGCAGCCATTATACCGCCGTTGCTGAATGTGTAGTGCCATTCCCTTCCATAGTATTAAGGGTGTATGATGGAACTAGGGGTTGATGCGTGCATCTTCAATTTTTTAATTTACGGGAAGCAGTTGTTTTGTGATTGCCAAAACTCACCTTATCATCATCATTTATTTGATAGAGTAATATCTTATTCTTGTAAAATCGCCAGTGATCCAGGTATTCTTAATGGTCGCACTTCTGATTCAAAACTTGATCTGTCGCTTCTATTTCCAGGTCAATATTTGACTTCCTATCAATCCAGAAGTTGCTCTCTTCTCCAAAATTTGGTTTCTGGTATGTGTGTAGAGACCTTGTGATGCAATGTTGCAGCATATCATCTCATAAGTTACCTATTCCTGTTAAATGTATCTTCTGGATACTAACATCTTTATATACCATAGTTATGACGCACTTCATGGTGTTGCTGGATATTATGCTAAACGCATCTTCGTGGAGGAGCTTGGTGGAAAAGAAAGCTCTCTACTGAACTGTGTTCCTAAGGTCATTTCCTTTTCCCTGCATTGTGATTCTTCTTCTCAATGAATTGTTATCTCTATGTTTTCCTCTTAACAACTATTTCTACCATCAAGCCTTACAGTCTAGATGTACCGGGGATCACCATAATGGGTGTGGGTTTGATTCTCACTGGATCCTTTTCCTCCCCCTTTCCCAATGTAATAGGAAGAGATTTAAAGAAAAAAGTTATATTTCTGACATTTTTCTGTATACCTAATTGAATCAGGAGGACTTTGGTGGAGGACATCCAGATCCTAATCTGACCTATGCAAAGGAGTTAGTTGCGCGAATGGGATTGTCTAAATCACTTTCTGAACCCAATCCACCAGAATTTGGGGCAGCTGCTGATGGAGATGCAGACCGTAACATGATTCTTGGGAAAAGGTAACTTCCGGTTGTTTTTATTTGTTGAACTTAACTCCTTGCTTAGAATTTTATCTTTTAAAATTTATGTTTTCCCCTTGTTCTTTTCGGTCAGATTCTTCGTGACTCCGTCTGATTCTGTTGCTATCATAGCTGCCAATGCTGTTGAAGCCATACCTTATTTTTCTGGAGGTTTAAAAGGAGTTGCCAGGTTTATCATCTTACGGATCTTAACTTTCTATTACGACGATGTCATCATTTTTGTTGCTATTGTTATTGAAGATTTCAAGAAGAATAATGAAGCTTCTTGTATTTTTGTGTATCTTTACATTTCAATGAGAAGTAGTACTTATAGGTTCCTATGACTAATTTAGGAAAGGAAATCAATTACAGCTGTTATACAAATCAATTAGAATATCCTAGAATAGAATCAAATCTCTTAAAATTAAGTTTCCTACAATGAAGCTAGTCAACAATCAAATCTTCTAAAATTAAGTTTCCTACAATCAAGCTAGTCAACACTCTCCCTCAAGTTGGTGCAAAGATGTCACACATGCCCAACATGCAAACCAAAGTATGGAAGGTTCGTCTGTTAAGACCTTTTGTAAACACATCAGCTAGTTGTTTCTCTATGATACATGAAGCAAAGTCAAGGCACTACCTGTAATCTTTTATTTTATGAAGTGTTGATCAATTTCAACATGTTTCGTTTGGTCATGTTGAACAGGATTATGAGCTATGCTGATTGCAGCCTTGTTATCACAATACGAGGAAAGTTTTCCTTTTTCAGACAATTTCAATTCTTCTAGTAGCTTTTGTAACCACAGAAGTTCACATACACCATGGGCCATAGCTCTATATTTTGCCTCGGCACTTGATCTAGCAACTACACTTTGCTTCTTGCTTCTCCAAGTAACCATTCCCTCCTACGAGTGTACAATAACTGGATGTAGATCTTCTGTCATCCAGAGATCCAGCCCAATCTGCATCTGTATAAGCTTCTACCTAGAGGTGACCATGTTTGGAGAAAAGAAGACCTTTGCCTGGAGCAGACTTTAGATACCGCAGAATGTGGAAGACAACTTGCATATGAGAATCTTTAGGATCATGCATAAACTGACTTACCAAGCTGACTGAGTAAACATATCTGGTCTAGTGTGGGAGAGATAAATGAGTCTTCCAACCAACCTCTGATATCTCTCCTTATCTACATACTCTCCAACTCTTATTTGTAACTTGTGATTGCTTTCGATAGGCGATTCTGTTGGTTTGCATCCTGTCATATCAGTTTCTTTCAAGAGATCCAAATCATACTTTTTTTGAGAAATAAAAATTCACTTTTTCGATCTGGCAACCTCAATTCCCAAGAAGTACTGCAATTTTTTGAGATCCTTGATCTCGAATTACTGCGCCAACAACTTCTTCAATCGAACAATCTCCTCTTTGTCATCTCCTATCATTACTATATTATCAACATAAACTATGAGAAGAGTGACTTACCGCTTTGATGTCTTATGAAGAGAGTATGATCGACATTGCTCTGTTGGTAACCAAAGGAGATAATTGCTTTGCAGAATCTGTCAAACCAAGCTCTAGGGGATTGCTTTAATCCGTACAAGACTTTCTTCAGTTTGCACACCCTTCCTTGACTCTGTTCAGTATCAAATCCAGGAGGAATCTCCATATACACTTATTCTTCCAAATCTCCATGAAGAAAAGCATTCTTCACATCAAACTGTGGTAAGTCCCAATCAAGATTGGTTGCACAAGATAAAATAATTAAATAGTGTTCATTTTAGCAACTGGGGCAAATGTTTCTTAATAGTACACAACATAAATTTGAGTGAATCCCTTAGCCACCAATCTTGCTTTGAATCTTTTAATCGAGCCATCAGTTTTGTGTTTCACAGTGAAGACCCATCTGCAGCCAACCAACTTCTTATCGGGGGTTGATGTGACAAGCTCCCAAGTGCCATTTTTTGACAATGCCTTCATTTCTTCAATCATATCGTGCTTACATTTAGGATGTGCAAAAGCTTCCCTCCAGTTCTGGGGAATAGACACAGAAGAAATAGACAAGACAAATGCTGTATAGGACGGTGATGAAGAATTATAGGAGAAAAAACAGGATAAAGGGTGTTTAGTGGTGTAAGATCCGACTCTTTTTTTGTGAGCATTAGCTCTAGGCAAATTTAACTCATTAGGAAATATAGATTACTCACTAGTAAAAGAGGAATCGGCAGAAGAGGATTCAGCTTCAGTAGATTGTATGATGGCTTCTTCTGCTCTATTTCTCCTTATGTAAGTTATGAAATCAGGCCTTTCCAAACGCCCAACAATCTCCCCCTGAATCTTTTCTCCAATTTCACTTTCCTTTGTGGTAGTGGTATCAATAGTGGCGCTTGGGAGAATAATCTTTTCCTCCTTATAACTCTCCCTAAAGAGGTGATGGTGTAACATTGAAATAGGGCTCAGATTTTCAAAAAGTAACATCCATTTTGAAAAAGGATCTCCTAGAGGGAGGATGATAGCATATGTACCCTTTTTGTGTTAGAGAATACCCGATAATGACACATTTAAGAGCTCTAGGATCAAACTTCCAAAGGTTTCTAGCCTAACACCTTGGAGGAACAATATAGTCATTTTTACCCTTTCAAGCTTCCAGAAGACTCTTAAAATTGAGGGTTTTAAGTAGCATTCTGTTGATGAGATATGCAACTGCTAGAATGGCATCCCCCAATAAGGTTTTGGTGGATTCATTGTAAGCATGAGAGATCTTGTCACTTCTAACAAATGCCTATTCTTCTTTTCAGCAACCCCATTTCAGCAACCCCATTATAAGGACAACTTGTTTGGTGGATTATCCCGTAGGACTCCAAATAAGCGCTAAATTTTTTATCCATGTATTTTGTGCCATTGTCAGTTCGTAAGGTTTTTATCTTAGTCTCAAATTGATTACAAATCATCTTATGAAACGACTAAAAGCAGGAGAAAATTTCACTTTTGGCCTTTAACAAATATACCCAAGTCATCCTAGTGCAACAATCAATAAAAGTAATAAACCATCGACTATCAGACAAAGAAATTGTTTGAGTAGGGCACCATACATCAGCATGAATAATCAAAAAAGGAGTTGTACTTTTATTATCACTTAAAGGATAAGAGTTTCTAGTATGCTTGGCAAATTCACAAGCATCACAAAACAAAAATTCAAACTCAGTTCTAGAAAACAAACTAGGATATAGCTCTTCAAAGCAAAAAATGATGGGTTCCCTAACCGTCTATGCTACTGTATTTGTTTTTTGGTTGACATCCTTATTTCCTTCAAAAGAGGCCTGACCAAAGTCTTGAGTTCCATCAATCCAATATAAGTCATCATGCAATCGAACACTGCCAATCATCTTCTTTGTTTGAAGATCCTGAAAAACACAATGATCAGGGAAGAACTCAATACTACAATTTAGTTTTTTGGTGATGGCACTAATAGATAACAGGTTAACAGGAAACTCAGATACATGGAGAATAAATGATAATATAATATCAGGAGTACAAACAATAGATACTGTTCCAGAGACAGGAGTTAGGGAGCCATTGGCTATTTTGACATAATTCCCTTTGAAACTAGGAGAGTAATTTGAAAGCCTTTAAGAGCTTGTCATGTGTCTATTCTCACCAGAATCTATAATCCAAAAATTAGGGTGAGCATTAAAGGCAATACCTGACTACATAATTGGAATTGGCAACTTTATAATGGTCAAGTTTTTTTAGGAGACGACGAAGATGTTGAACTTCGTCCGAAGACAAAGGTTCTCCAGCTGCAGTTTCTCCGGATGTCTCCACATTTTCTGCAATATTAGCATGACTCTGATGGACTTGCACACTTTCCTCCACGACCTCTAGTTGGTCTACTATGTAGTTTCCAACATGTCTCTTTTGTGTGCCTTGGCTTTCCACAATAATCACAGTGCATGTGATCTTTATCACAAGTGATTGCCCTTGGTTGCTCATGAGATACTGTTAACCCGAATTTCTCCATTGGTGCTAAATAAAGCATGGCCCCTCATCGGCTCTCTTGTTGAACATAAGAGTATGCATCCTCAAGAGAAGGAAAATGAACTTTACCGAGAACTTGAACCCTAATTTGATCATATTCTTGGTTCAAACCAGCCAGAAAATTATAGACTCTTTCCTTTTCAACCAATTATTGAAAGAGAACTGCATCATATGTAAGCAAAACTTTGCTTGGAGGGTCTGATACATCTCCTGCCATAACCCACTTAACTCGGAATAATAATTAGTGATAGTCAACTCACCTTTCTTAGTGGCATGGATTTTATTTCGAACCTCAAAGATCTGGTTCCATTTGCGAGAGTAAGTGCGCCAAGCGGAGTTCTAGATCTTTGCAGCAGTATCAAGCAATAAATATTGCTTAGAGATTCAAGGGTGCATAGTGTTCAAAAGCCATGTCATAATAAGGGAATTATGAGAATCTCATTGACCATAGTTAGGGTCAGTCACAATAGGTGCTTTTTTTTCTACAGTAATATAACCAAGCAACTTTCTAGACTTAATAAGAAGTAGACAAGATCTTGACCAAGCAAGATATGTACCAGCCCCATCCAATTTAACAACACTAATTTGAGACATAAAATTATTATCTATTTTTGTATCACCTATAGTTTGAACAAGTAATAATCTTTAGTGTCAAAAAAATCGAATAGGCATATTCAAAAATATAGAAATAACCTTCCAGAGATAGAATATGCCTGATTTCGCCGGAAGAACTCACCGGAAAAATTCTGTATGGTCGGAATCTCCAGAACTTTGGATGGGAAGGGTCGGAATAGGCTTGCGACCCGAGATCTGGAAAACTTTTCTGGAAAAATTCGCCGGAAAGCTGTAGATCTCACCGGAAAAGTAGCTGCCACGCCGGAACTCAAAAGAAGTTTGTGTTGCAGATAACCACCAAGAGAGAGAAAACTCGACCTCTTTGATAAAACGGAACTCTAGTGCTGCGAGAAAGATAACTCACCTCAAAAATCATGAAAAATTCAAGAAGAAAAATGAAGCTTTTTGTATTTCTATGTATCTTTACATTCCAATGAGCAGTAGTACTTATGCAGAGGTTCCTATGGCTAATTTTGGAAAGGAAATAAATTATAGCTATTATACAAATCAATTAGAATAAAATCTCCTAGAATAGAATCAAATCTCCTACAATAAAATAGTCAACAATCAAATCTCTTAAAAATAAGTTTCCTATAATAAGGCTAGTCAACAATTATTATTATTGTTCTTATTTCTTATTATTGTTCTTATTTCTGCTTATGTTCCTTTTGTTTTTCAGTCGTTCTCTAGTCGAGGGTCTATCGGAAATAGCCTCTCTGCTTTTCCAGGGGTAGGGGCTGCGTACATCTTACCCTCCCCAGACCCCACTTGTGGGAAACTACTGGGTTTGTTGTTGTTGTTGCATTTCTGTTTATGTTTTTAAAGTGGCTGCTGCTTGGCTGTAAATAGTGCTTAGCAAAAGTTTCTTATATGAGCACAACCATTTTATCTTTTAGGGAAGTCATTAACTATCTGGTTTGATTTCATGTAACCATAACCTTTCTGCAGGAGTATGCCCACATCGGCTGCCCTAGATGTTGTAGCTAAAAGTCTGAACCTGAAATTTTATGAGGTACTATATTACTGAGATAACATTCATTTTCATTTTCTTTCTTCTGTTTTAGGGTAGGGTGATTGGGTGTTTTTTTTTTTGGGGGGGAGGTGTGCTGACGGATGCAGAAGTTGTTAGTGTTCTCTTTTTCTGTCTTTACCTGCATGCTTAAAAGTTTTTGCTTATTTAGGTACCCACTGGTTGGAAATTTTTTGGTAACTTGATGGATGCTGGAATGTGTTCAATTTGTGGAGAAGAAAGTTTTGGAACTGGTTAGCTTTTTTGAGTTTCAAACATTTAACTGATAGGGCTAAGCTACATAATATTCTAATCCGACACATAAAAGTACTTAATATCTTTCGTTATGTCTTCACAGGCTCAGACCATATTCGAGAGAAAGATGGGATATGGGCAGTTTTGGCTTGGCTCTCTATTCTTGCCGATAAGAATAAGGATAACCTTGGGGGAGAAAAGCTTGTGAGTGTTGAAGACATAGTTCGCCAACACTGGGCAACCTATGGACGCCACTATTACACTCGATATGATTATGAGGTATCTGCAGAATCATACTTCTTATTCAACGTTAAATGAGTTCTTCTGTATATGTTTATCATGACTCCTGTTACTCTATTTGTATTATTTATTCCAGAATGTCGATGCGGCTGGAGCAAAGGAGCTAATGGCTCATTTGGTCAAGCTGCAATCGTCCCTCGATGAAGTGAACAAGTACGCTACTCTTTTTATGTCAATTTCTCTCTGGAAGATGAAACATTTCTCAAACATGGCATTGATATTTGCTGTTTGTCGCATGTTTCACATGTATTATTTCTTTTATTTTTGGGGTATTCTGCTTTGGTTTACCATCTCTTGCATGACGCAAATCCCAGGTATAACCAGCTTAAGCATTGGTTAGTAGGTCTTCTTTGCATGGTATTACAACATATTTTTAAATTAATACTATAAGTCAATGACATGTTTTAGCATTAAACAGTTACTTATGGCATCTCAGAACTATGGTTCTGCAAGAGAGAGAACGGACAACAACAATGAAGATCAGAGTGATATAGTTTCTGTTTTAACTTTTATTATTGTTCTCTGACTCAGTTATTACTTCTACAATGTATCCTGTAAGTAGGCTGAATGGAGAACCAAATTATGTTTCTTTTAGGTAGGCTGAAAGGAGAGCAAATCAGGTCATTAGTCAGCAATTCTTGTCGCTTTCTTATCATGATTCCTTCCAAGAGAATGAAAGCCTTCTTTAGGAGAGTGAATATGAAAATAAGAGGATCGTGGACACCAGAATCGACATCGTCTGGATGTGTTTCATGAATTCGTATAGTGTCTAAAGTTTGAAATCTTCTTTAAAGCCAAAGCCTTGTTATTTGGCTGCAGTCTAAAACTTGCAGCAACTTTTACCTCTTCTGAATCACCTGGTTCTTCATTGTGGTGATGGAATCAAATCTTTGTGTATTCAAAATATCTTCCATCTCTCTTGTCAAAATGGGTGTTTATAAAGAATGATTCTTTCAAATTCATGGTGCATGTACTACAAAAGAAGAATTTCTGGTCCTGTGTGTGACAGTTGCTTAGTTTCTTGTTTCTAGCTGGGAAAAAGATTCTAGCGAAGTAAGCATCTTTGTTAAGTTTTGTCCTGGTTTTTTCTTTCCCTTTTAGAGGTCTCTTCTGTAATGTTCCCTTTCTAAGGTATCTGGTTCTTTGCGTTCTTTATTGAACTTCCTTATATGTGTTGATTGGTTAGTGAGCTTGGCACACTCTGGTGGTTTTTCCGCTGTCTTTTGCATTGCTCCTTTGCTGAATGGTAAAGAGCTGGGTTTTATTCTTTAATTTAATACCTCGCAATGTCAGCTGATTTACCTGTAAAGTTAGTTTAGTTTGTGATAATTAAATGTCTTAAAGGAAACCTCGAGAAACATCATGTTATCTAAGTTGCTCCGACATGGCAGTTTAGGTGCCGCACCTGTGTCGATACGACAGTAGTATGGGTATGGGTATGGGATCCATACCGGATTTGATCAAACAATTTTGGATACTTTGACCACGACAGACGAAAAAATTCTAGACGAGATACAATTTGATTCCGGAAATCAAAACCAAAACTCGGATATATTTGAAGACAATAGCATTCCTTATCTAGGAAATCAATCATTTAATTATCTACAACTTGAGAATAAAAAGAAATCCACACTTTATAAGCTATACGCAAGTATTCCACAAATATTTTCATAATTTAAAGATATTTTATATTTTTATATTTTTTTAATTATTTTTAATCCAATCCCCGAACACGTATCCGTACTAGGTCCGTATCCCCGAATCCGCGAGGTGCGCGCGTACGTGTCGATGTTTTGTGCCGAGGGCGACACAATTGGGTGGGGGAGATTGTGATGACCCACCATGTCATCATGCCACATAGGATCTATTTGGCACATATACTTGCCATGTGTAAGGGTTACATAAGTTAGAGACTAGCTCTTAGTGGAATACTCTAGAACTATGGAGAGTTTAATTGGGAAAACTCTAGATATTTATGGATTTGGTAGGAAGACTCTTTTGGAAGCCTTGGAATGTTCTAGTCATGTAGAAAATTCTAGAGAGTGTACTTATATGTAAATATGGAAGGACTTGTGGAACAATTATTATTTACACACTAGCTCTAGGTGACTAGTATAAATAGGGGGCATTCATTTGTAACTCACTAAGCAAAACAATCAAGTTCTCTATAATAAAAAGCTTCATTTGGCAAATTTTTCTTGTCTTTCTTATCTAACATTCCCTTAGTGATCTTGAGTGTAATATTTTAGGGTGACTTGGCATAGCAAGATCGTGCGCGAGTTGTGCAAGATCGTGAGAAAGTTGTCAAGTGCCGCACGTGCGCTTAGTTCAAGACTAAGGACGTGACATTTGGAATGAAGCTGGTCCAAACGGACAGGATATCGGTCTAAGGCCATATGGGATTCGTTGTAGAGCATTTTGGGAGGAGACTTGCTTTTTCTGTTAGATATTAAGGATTCATGCAGCTGATTTTACTAGTTTGTTTTGAGGCATAGTTATGTTGTGATGGTGTGTGCTTTCATTGTTAAATATTTCTTTAACCTTCGGCTATTTTTAATACAGGATAATAAAGGGAATACATTCAGATGTTTCAAATGTCGTTCATGGTGATGAATTCGAGTACAAGGACCCAGTTGATAGTTCCATCTCAAAACATCAGGGTATCCGGTATCTGTTTGAAGATGGCTCACGATTGGTAAGGGACCTCACCCGCCCTCCCCATAGCTTAAGTACTTTAGAGAACACTTGGTGGCAATGAAGGTTGTGCAGTTCTGATGCATAGAGAAGTTTGAGACTTTAGAAAGTTAAATGGATTTCTCATATATTAATAATTGTAGATGCAGGTCCCATTCGTGTGTTATAAAAGAATTATCTAACAAATAAATAAGAAATGCAACAGATTTTGTAATCCCTTTATTCCTTTCTTCCGAATACGTCTCCCCCCTCCTCCCTCTTTGTACGATAATTGCTTTGAAGGATTTCTGACTAACTTCTGGTGCTGTGCAAGGTTTTCCGTCTCTCTGGAACTGGCTCAGAAGGCGCTACCATCCGTGTTTATATCGAGCAGTACGAGAAGGATCCATCTAAGATCGGGAGAGATTCTCAGGAAGCACTTGCTCCATTGGTAAGTTAACG